GTCTGAGCTTCCTGCCTGCCTCGTGCTCCTGCTGCTGCTCCCGCCTCGCCTTGGCCTCAAGGTTGGATGACAAAGAGCTTTTTGGGTTACCCAGATGACACTGGAGGGCTTGTTGTGCAATCGGGAGTGCTTAATTAAAAAAAAAAAAATGCAGTGCTAAGCACATCATTTTATGCCCGACATCCCGTTTATAAAGATGAACTAATTTAGAGGAGTTCAAGTTCGGTGGCCAAACGGCTCGGAGTGAGCCTGTCTCTTTGCCAGACCATCACCAGGCTGGCGAGGGCCTTTCCTGCCCAGGCAGGAGGCTCTGCTGCCGGCCACGTGCTTGAAGCAGGGACTCTTGGCTGCAAAACCCTTCCGAGAAACTTCCCTTTCGCTAGATAACGAGCTTGCGGAGACTGCAGCGCTGCCTCCAAGCCCATTGCTTGAGCAGCCTGCGTTCTGTTGACTACCTACTTCTTTATCTGCCCAAAGTTGTAAATTTACAAAAGTCTTAAATGTATTGGCCTTAGCTGGGATGATCCAACACCAGCGTTAATTCCCTTTCCGTGCTCTGAGCTGATAATTTAATAGAAACAAAATGTTCCCAGGCTGGCCAGACCATGTGCTTAGTCCTTTATCTGCCTCCTCTTGTTCTCCCTGGGGGGAAGATGGTGCCGGGGCCGCCGCAGCGTGCGGTGATGGATGGCACGTAGGGAATGGGGATGCAGTACCTTGGGTCTGCCGCCCAGAACCGGGTGCGCAGCAAATCCCCGTCCTGGAGCTGGGGATGCAGCAGGGGGATCTATACTTCCACTTAGGGTTGTTTTACATTTAAATATAACTCTAAAAACTTTATTTTGTGATGCAACAAAGATTTTACAGCTTCCTTGAACACATTTAGCCTTGATTTCCACTGGTGTGGGGCCAGTCTGGAAGGCTCCTGGTCCTCTGTCGAGCAACACACTGCAAGGTTAAGTCAGTAGGTGTGCCCACACTGCAGATACCCTTGAGATAAGTCTTTCTCGTCGCCAAATATCTGATATTCGTCACCTCTACTTGCGTTTTTTTTTTTGTTAAGCCTCCTGTGCGCCTTTGCCCTCCAGGGCCACCCCACTAAGTCCTGCGTGGAGCTGAGGGCTAATCCTTCTGCATGCAGGGAAAGTGCTGATGTTGCCCAGTGCTGTGCGGGCTGGCCTGACCTTCCCGGCCCTTTGCTGAAAAGCCAGAGAGGTATTTCTGTTGCAGAATTGCAGCTTGCTGCTGGGGAAAGCATTCAGCAGCCGGAGCAGGTGGTGGCTCCTGGGTCCCGTCCAGCGTTGCAGAAAAGAGCTGGCATTTTGGGGTGGCCATCTTGTACTTACATAACGGTGAGACACCACCTCCTGCAGCAGCCACGTGGGGAAGAACGTGTTGTCCTCCCTCTCTGCAAGAGGGGTTGACAGGCTGTATTAAAAGTCTGCTTCTCTGCAGAGCTGGTTTTGTTTTTTTTTTTTGTTATTGAGTGCCTTTAGCTTCTGGAATGCACAAAGCTGATGTTTTTCTAGGCGTTTTTTGGGAATCTGAAGGCCTGCCTGGTTTCATAACTCTGCCCTTCTCAAGTATAACTCAAACCATTTCTGCCTCTGGGCACGAGCTGCAGCGGCAGTGAGGTTGTGTAAGAGGGGCTGACCAATAAACCCGAATCGTCACCCTCCACAATCCTCCCGCCTGCCTGCAACTTTTACAGGTTTACAGTAAAAGATTTTTGTTCGGCATGGCGGTGGTTAACACTGGTCCTGCCTGGGGACAGTCCCTGCCATGCTTTGTCACCGCAGTTCCCAGTCCCTTTGTCACTGGTTACAGCAAAGGCTTGGCCCGGGGTGGGGGGTGGGCATTGCTGGGGTGGGGATTTCCGCTGTCCCTTTCTCCCTCCCCGAGGGCAGATTTGGAGGTGCTGTGGATTTAGGGTTCCTCTGAGGCAACTGCAGGATGAGCTGGCTGGACTTGGTCACCACGCTACTGCAAAACCAGTCATCCTGACTTCAAACGGCTCTTTCTAGAATATTCAAGAGCCAGGGAGGTACCGGACATTTTCGGCATACCCTGCCTGAAGCACAGACAGCCCAAGTAATAAACTTGGGGATTTAATCGTTGTGCCTTGAGGAAGGAATTTGTATTTATCCAGTGCTGGAAACATTTGGGCTCAGCCCAGACAGAGCGCTCTGTGTCTTCAGGTGTCCTTGAAGTCCTTGCCTCCTCTGTTTGATCTTAAAAAAAGCAACCCTGGAGGAGTGGGAAATGCCAGACATTCCTGTTAGGAGACTGGTCCTTCCACTAGAAATCAGTCGATCTATTGTTAATAGGTGGTAATGGGAGGCAGGAGGAAGTGTTAAAAAGCAGAGCTTGTTGGTAGCAGGTCTGGGTGCTGCAGGCAGATGGGTGTTTGGGGAACTTTTTGGCTGCTGCGTTTCTGCTCTCGCCCCTGGACAAGGTCATGGTGTCTCTGATTGATTTTTTCTGAGTGTATTGAACTGCTGGGAAGGAGATTCTGACTCAAGAGCTGAACTGAACTTTTTTGTATTTATAAAGACTTTAGGGGGTTTAAGATTATATTTGCAAATGATTTGAGTGGATTTCCATGAGAGAGAGAAGTCACCTGCCTACTTGTAAAAACTTCCAAGTCGTGCTCTGGATGAAGTTTCTGTCTCAGGATCCTGTGGTTTCGTATCTCTCCTGTTCCCAGAAGCTGTGCAGACCCGCCTGTGTTTGTGTGGAGGCTATTTCCCAGCAAAGGCTTATATTTTTTTTGTTTTTATTGGCGTAGGCATCTAGAGAAGCTGGTGCTCCGCAGGTGTCAGAGGATGCAGCAGCAAGTGTTAGAGGGCTAAAATACAATGTTCCAGGTCTGACCAGCAGATTTTCCTACAATAATGGGACTTTGTCGGGCTTTTTATGTGGGCAGACCTTCTTGTACTGACTTAGGTGAATCAACAGCTTCTGGCAGGGCTGAGGGAAAGGAGACTTTGCCAGGACAAATTATGGTTTTTTCGCTGGCCTGACTCTTTTATGCCGCATGGGAGCAAGGCGAGGGTGAGTCAGGGCTGCCTGCAAGAGGATCTGCACGATCTGCACGTACGTGGGGAAGGTCCGCAGAGCAGAAGCGGCTGAGGGGAGGAGCGTCGGAGTGAACCCAGACACTGCAGCACCGGCAGGCACATGGCAGGCTGGCAGGGGATCTCCCTGGCTTCCTTCTGACCTTTCGGGTTTATTAGTGCCTCCTTTTCGAAGCTGAATACATTGAGCTAGCTGGTAACGGGAGTGAACACCATTTTGTGATTTATTGGGGGTTTCTTTGTCTGCTTGGGGCAGGCAGGACAAAACCCCTGCTCTGTCCCTGCCTTTAGCCAAGCAGCAGCCGGTGTTTCTCTGAGTGCCACACTAAAGGCATCTCTCGTAGCTTGTGCTGAATATCCCCTGCGGGCCCAGGGGATGAAGTTTGAAGTCGAACCCCTGTTTGAAGTTTGGCTAGTGACCTGCTCGTGCTGGTAGCCAGCTTACATCACTCTTTTATCAGCGGATTTTCGAACACTGGCAATCTAGCCCTGGCAAGTCAAAGAGGACAAACAGCTTTTAGCTGCCACTGCTAGTTGAGAACAAAATTATTGCAGTATGGCCTGAGTGCGCAATTAGAAATGCCCGGGGGCACCAGCACTGCTGGGAAATGAGTGTCCTCCTGTCCCAGCTGACAGTTAAGCTTCAGTTCAGCTTCCTCTTGAGGTTTGTGGGCCACTCCTGCTGTTGTGGGAATGTTCTAGTCCTGTAGAGACAAGCAGCCTGAGATCAGAGAGGGTTTTTGTAGCCAAATTTTGAAAAAATAACCAGTTTTAAACCTTGTGGTGGTTTCTGCTGTCCTGGGCGAGGGGGAACACAGGGGACGGGGGAGACCCATAGTGTCTTCAGTTTGAAGAGGGACCTTGAGCATATTAAAGGGATCTTCAGGTTTTTTATATCTTCTCTGCTGAAGGTGCTGTGTCTAATCAACTCAAGTCTACTTGCTTGTACAGGCTTAAAGGATGGGGGTTAAGCTTAGGCGGACTTCGCCGTGATTAGGTGCTTCTCGGCAGGAGATTGCCCACGTAAGAGCACATCCGCAGTCACGCTAGCGCCGAGCTGCCCCGGTCGCGATGGGAAACTCGGTCGAGGCCTGTAGGAGAAATGACTCGAGAGCTGGGAGGGAGGAGGCAGAATCTCTGCCTGCGCACTGAAGTGCTTGAATTTTGTTGCGTTGTGTAGCTCCAAGGGAAGACTGGCAATGAAGAGAAGCTATGAAGGGAACATCTGCATAGAAGGCAGGTGAGCTTTGGGTGGTGTCTGTGGGGGATGACATGGAAGTGGAAGTGTGTCTTGCCTGTATCTAAGACTCTCAAGTAGGAACATAAAAATAGTTTGACCCAGTAGCAGCTTTCTTGTTCCCCCCATATTCATCACATGGGTGTGTTGGTGTCTCTGCTTGATCAGCAAGTCTGGGTGATTCCTAAACCTGACATCGCTTTCTTCTCTTCTAGACATAGGAATCCAGCAACCATGTCGAAGCACCACGATGCAGGGACCGCTTTCATCCAGACGCAGCAACTGCATGCTGCCATGGCGGACACCTTCCTGGAGCACATGTGCCGCTTGGACATCGACTCGGAGCCAACTATTGCCAGAAACACCGGCATCATCTGCACCATTGGTAGGTGATTCCTAGATAGGAGGGAATTGCAGCTGTGAACCCCTGTGTTGGTGAAACTTGTTAGGGAAATTGTGGCAAGGCTTCGGCTTTCATCCCTTGCCAGGGCTGAACTTGTGTGTTGAAAGAAAACGATTTTCCCACGTCTGTCTAACCCATGTTATTGCTAGGAGTGATTCCAGTAGCTGGGGAAATCAGAACTGGTCAGGTTCTGCTGCGGTCCTCAAGGCAAGTTAAGACAACCCTTGGTGCTGCAGAGATGAGCTGGTTCAGCACTGAGTGCGTCTGTATCCATTGTACCTTTTCTCTTCCACGTGGAACAGCCTGGCGTGTGTGGGTTATCTCATTATTTTTACAAAGTTAATATTCAAACTGTTTCTTCCTCCTAGGCCCAGCCTCCCGCACGGTGGAGAAACTGAAGGAAATGATTAAATCTGGAATGAATGTTGCCCGCCTCAACTTCTCTCATGGCACCCATGAGGTAAGGGTGGGGTCTGAACTGATATGGCCCTGACTGGGTCACGCGTGTGTCTGCTGACCCTGCCTCTCATGGGAGAGGGAAACCCAGCTCACTCCAGACCAGCCTTGGTGTGGGAATGCGGAACTTGGCTCCGCTTTTGGGAAAAGCGTGCTGGTTGTACACACTGAGCCAGTGTGATTGCTGATAACATTTAAGTGCACTTTCCGAGCCATTTTGAAAGCAGTTCCGGTTGCTTCCGCACCCTTTGCTCTACCAGGTAGCCAGGTAACTGATATTTGACCCTTGTGGGCCAACTGCTTGCTGTGAAATCCTTCAGTTCTTCCTCTTGTCCTGCCACTTGCTGTACAAAGCTGCTGCTTCTTCTCAGTTGATAGTGGGAGCAGAGAATGTTTCTCCCTGTTCTGCTGTGCACCTCTGCAGGAGTACATGACCAGCGGTTGTTTGTCTCACTTCTTATTTTACTGCTGAGGGTTTTGCAAGCCGACGATCAATGAATAACCTTATCTCCAAAGAAAACTGTTAGTGATTGGAAGCAATTACTGTATGTAGTTGAAAGAATTGGACTCTTGGGTTTGCTCAGCTAACCAGCTGCTCCGGTTGTGTTCCTGGCAGTCATGAGGCGAGCACCATGGCGCCTGGGAGGTGGTGGTGTGGTGAGCTTTTGAGAATAAGGTCAAAAGAAATCAACACTGATCAGGGCAGACAAGCTCTCGTAGATATAAATAGATGAGATCCTCAGCAATACTGGAGAAGCTGAGGATCTCATTCCGGGTTGCCTAGAATGCCACCCTGAGCCTTCCCACTGAGGTTTGTTTTTTTTTATCCTGGCTGCCCTCCAGCTTACAAAATGTCAGCTGGTAGCCGGTAGCAGCTGGAGGTGGCTTTACTTACTGAACCGTGAACCTCGTGGTACGTAACAGCTTGGCCTCTCACCCTTGTGGCCTTTAAAGGCCACAGGGCACTGTCAAAATCGAAAGGTCTGATGCTTAATTGCAGAGAACTGTCAGACCTTGACTAAACATCTGGGGGTAGTGTCAGAGCATAGGTTGCAGTTAGCAAAATCTGCCTGAAGAAAGGAGAGCCTGGAATAATTGTGCCTCTTAGGACTCAAATGCTGCTGCTGGGTTCCTCAGCAGGGAGTTGATGGCCAGGCTGAAACTGGGAATTTTCAACCCGTTACTGCGCAGCAGAGCTGCTGCTGTGGTTTGCGTACTTGTTAGCTGAGGTCGAGGACGGGCACTGTGTGCTTTCTGCTTTGGGTGAGGTCAGTTGCACATTTTGTGCAGATGAGATTGGGTTACAGCAGAGCCTGGTCTTGCTGTCATCTCTTGTTGAGTTTGTCAGCCGTAGCCAGTCTTCAGTTTGAGTACCCTCCTGGTTCCTCCAGAGCACTCTGGTTTCCAGTGAAGTCCCAAAAAGTTTTAATCCTTCACGAGTGCTTCAGTTCTTGTGTCCACCCCAAAGTGTTGAACTTTAACAGAGGTGCTTTAGCACCTGGCTGCCTCCTTTCTACATGGAAAAAAAAAAAAATTGCTTTTACTTCCAGCTCAGCCTGCATTCTTGGTCTGCATACGTAACTCCTCAGGAAATCAGACTCACGAAGAGCCAGTTAGTCATCAGTATCAAACTAAAATGGAAAAATCCCGGGTGACTGGGACCAGATAAACATAATAACCCTGTTCAGGCAAGTTTTCTCTACTGCATCCATCTAGGCTGCAGTGCATGGAAGGGTTGGGGCCTTCTCAGTCTCAACATGGGCACTGGATGAATAAATAATTTTTCTTGCTCTGAAGAGTTAGCAGTTGCATCTCTGGCACACGAACTTTAGCACAGCTTTTTCCAGCCCCACCTTCCTGGCGCTGGATTATCATCCCCGTGATACTGAAGTCGGTGTGCAGGGCTCGTGGTGAGGTGCGTGGTTGGTGTGGGGGGAGCCAGGTGTTTCCGGGTGAGTCAGGTCAGACGCCGTCCCTCTGTCCCACAGAGAGGGGAAGGGGTATTTCTTATCTGGAGAAGTCTGTCAAGTATTACACAACTTGCAGTCAAGGTTATCTCTTAATGTTGTTTAAGCAAGGAAAGTAAACTGATCTGCTGGTCATCTGAAGCTTGTTTGAGGTAGTTGAGATGAGAGTTTCCACGCAGAACCGTCTGTCCTGAAACTGGCAGCGTTAGTGAAATGCTCCTGCACACGTGAAAGTTTGAAAGCTGGGTGCGTGGTGCTGCAGTCTTGAACTTCCATCTGTAATTGCTTTGGCTCTTGAAATAAAATGTAAATACTTAAATGGATAATGTCCTCTTAGCGAATCTTTTGTCCTTAGGGGAAATTTAAGCCAGAGTTATGAAAAAAGCTTGTCTTATCTGCTTGCCTGTAGGACTGGTAAGAGGGGTTAGGCTGGAAGTCTGGGGGGGATGTTGGCATCTTCCCTCCCGTGCTCTGAAGGGATGAGGAGAGCAGCCATGTGTGGCGGTCACTTAGCTGTGCCATTCTTCTGGCGTTCAGGAGTCTTTCCGTGCATGTAATCATCCGGCTGCCAGTGCTGCTGATGTTCTGCCATGTTGTACAGGCAGATGTTGAGCAAGGCTTTTGGAAACGTTCTTCCTAAAGACCTGTTGGTCAGTGGGCCATCTTCAAATGTATGTCCTCGTGGAAAATCACTTCGTCCAAGCGCATGGGCTGTTGCCTGGAGTTGTCCTTCTGGGCTTAGAAATGGGGGCACTGAAGACATAGCCAGAAGAGTGCCGGACTCTGCTTTCATGTCAGGAGGGCTTTTGTATCCTCACATCCAGCTTTTCTGGAAGCTCAGTCTGAATTACATTCTCAAGCTAGAAGTGAAATTGAGCATAAAGCGAGAGCTATCAGCTCGGGCAGCATTTGGGGTGCACAATGGTCTTGTTTTGTAAACTGTGATTTAGAAATGGGCTGAATGTTTCCATCTCTTTCTCCTTGCCAGTATCATGAGGGCACAATCAAGAACGTGCGAGAAGCTACAGAGAGCTTTGCCTCTGATCCCATCACCTACAGACCTGTGGCTATTGCACTGGATACCAAGGGACCTGAAATCCGAACTGGACTCATTAAGGGAGTAAGTTGCTCTTTTTTTTTTCTCCCACTTTTTTCACCTCATGAGACTAGATATTGTGTTATGCCTGTGGCCTTTTCCAAACAAAAATGTCTCTAGGAAACCAACTACCAAAAGTTCTGATGGAACTGCTGCAGGCTGGGAGGTGGTTCTGTGCTGGTTTTTACTGGTTTTTCTGAAACATGTGTGTTTTGACACTCAGAGTGGCACAGCAGAAGTGGAGCTGAAAAAGGGCGCAGCGCTCAAAGTGACCCTGGACGATGCCTTCATGGAGAAGTGCGATGAGAATGTGCTGTGGCTGGACTACAAGAATCTCATCAAAGTTGTAGAGGTTGGCAGCAAAATCTATGTGGATGATGGTCTGATTTCCTTGCTGGTTAAGGAGAAAGGTGGGTAACAACCCTTCCAGCTGTGCCAGCTTGTTTTTTTCCTCAGAATGTATTTGTGCTTTCCCTCCAATAACATTTTTGGCTTGCAGTTGTGTATTAAAGAAAGGAGTACATGGTTCTTAATGCTGGAGTGAGACTTTGAGCAAAACTTTCTCTTCTTCAGCTGTAGCAAGTTTTCAAAAACTAACTTCAGCTGGGTTTCACTGGACTATCATCTAAAACACATCTTCAGAGGTGAATGTGTGGTGGGGATGTGCCAGTGCTCATGATAAATCCTGTTCAACCAGGTGGATTTGTGCTTTAAATGCACGATCTAACTAGTTTTACAGCACAGACCCCGAGTTTTGTGGTTAAGAGACAGAACTAGCTTTAACTGGCAATGTAGGGGCAAGGTTAGTTCCACAATACTTCCTTTGTAGCGTTGCCTGAGCTGCTCTAGCCTCAAGGTATTGCTTCTAATTCCAGAGTGTGTAGTCCTGTTCAGCCAGGTGGATTCGTGCTTTTAATGCAGGATCTAACTAGTTTTACAGCACAGACCCCAAGTTTTGTGGTTAGAGACAGAACTAGCTTTAACTGGCAATGTAGGGGCAAGGTTAGTTCCACAATACTTCCTTTGTAGCGTTGCCTGAGCTGCTCTAGCCTCAAGGTATTGCTTCTAATTCCAGAGTGTGTAGGGAGGTGGAGGTCAGGCTTTTGGGGTGCTCACTTTGGTATTGCAGGGCTCCTGTGTGCAGTAGTGCAACCTGGTAGTTTTCTTTGGCGAGGCAGTCCCAACGTCCTGCACAGAACAAATGGCATCTTCTCGCAGAACAGCATAGAAGTGGTTTTAAACTGGTCTGTTGTGCTCCCATGGGAAACTACAAGCTTGTTTGTTACATAAATCTGCTAAAGAGAGCGGCGATGTGCTTTTATCGCATGCGGTCGCTGTTGGTACTGCTGTTCTCGGGCAGGGAGGTGGTGTGGGAGCTGGCAGTGGGGAGATTTCTGGTAAATACTGACTGTGGGAACACATCTGTTCCAGGCAAGGACTATGTCATGACGGAGGTAGAGAACGGCGGCATGCTTGGCAGCAAGAAGGGAGTAAACCTGCCTGGTGCTGCGGTCGACCTGCCCGCGGTCTCTGAAAAGGACATTCAGGACCTCAAATTCGGTGTGGAGCAGAACGTGGATATGGTGTTTGCTTCCTTCATCCGCAAAGCTGCTGATGTCCATGCCGTCAGGAAGGTGCTAGGGGAAAAGGGAAAGAACATCAAGATCATCAGCAAGATCGAGAACCATGAGGGTGTGCGCAGGTGAGCTTTGTACAGGTGACACTTGATGTTTGTCACCCCGTATCAACGGAAGAGTGCAGCCCCTTCACACTCTAGTCTGGACTCTTGGTTTCTGGCTTACCAGCAGCAGCAAACTTACTAGTCTGAGTAACAGGGTGGTAATGCAGGCTGTTGCTTAATGCCATGTGTGTGGGACTTCTTGTAGCTGTGGTATGAGCAGTGGGTTGTGTAACTGTCACGTGCCCTGAGCTCGTGGGGACAGTGTCACAGTCTCCCCATGTCCCTGAAAAATCGGCGATAGTTTTTGTAGCGAGTGTGAGTTCAAACTATCAGACTGAAGTATCTTGGATCAACTCATTCTCCCCTCAGTGTGTCTTTTCTGTGTGCTATGTCTTGGTTTTCTTCCTCCTACCTTGGCATTGCAGGATACCGAAATGGCACGTGTCAAGACTACGTGCTGACAGCGTAGCTGCGTATCGCGCTTGAGAGCGATGCTCCCTTTCAGAGGTGCGAGGATGGAACCGATGCGAAGGTGCTTTGCAGAATAAAGGGAGTAACAAACCTCTTACCTTGCTGGCAGGTTTGATGAGATCATGGAGGCCAGTGATGGCATTATGGTGGCCCGTGGTGACCTGGGAATTGAGATCCCTGCGGAAAAAGTCTTCCTTGCTCAGAAGATGATGATTGGGCGCTGCAACAGGGCTGGCAAACCCATCATCTGCGCCACTCAGGTACTGGAAATGCAACGCTAGCTCCTAACTGCTGGAGTCTGGCGGGGTGTGAATGTCAGGAGCTGTCATGGTCACACAGGGGGTGGGCTGGGGAATGGGCCTCGATGGATCTGCTAGAGCGTGGGGTGCCGAGAGCAAAGAGGGGTTGCTGGTAGCTGAATATGTCACCTCGAGGCATTTCTTTAAAGATCTTTTTGGGATCTTCCCCAGTAAGGTCACAGGACACTGGCTGCTGAAGGTTTTACCCCTCAAAACCTTATGCAGTATGAGCCTTTTGGGCTGACTAAAGAGTATTCTGGGGAAAAAATCACTTTTGCTTTGCCTTGGCATCTTGCAGCAGCATGTCTGTGTCAAACAGAAGACTTGCAAAGGTTCCCCGGTATCTTAAAAGATACGCCAACGCTGCAGTACCAAAAGGAACTGAGCAGACAATCCATCTCGTTATTCTGTTTGCTGCTAGTGAGGGAGGGACAAACAGAAGACTTGCAAAGGTTCCCCGGTATCTTAAAAGATATGCCAACACTGCAGTACCAAAAGGAACTGGGCAGACAATCCATCTCATTATTCTGTTTGCTGCTAGTGAGGGAGGGAAAGCTTCACTGGTTCCAGTAGGAATCATGTAGACAGTCTACAGGCACTGGGAGGACTGATTTTGAGACTGTGCTTTGTGCACAGGCTGTGAAAGCGAAAACGGGCTCTGGGCAGTAGTTGTCAGACAAGGTTCTGGATTTCCAGTGCTGTGTGCTTCTTTTCCTGTATTGCTGCTGAAATGTGGCTGAAATGTGACTGAAACGCTGCCTCAGGCGGTGTTTTGTGGGGAAATGAGGGATGTTTGAAGTGCACTAGTGAAAAAAAGCAGCTGGCTCCTTCTGCAGTGCCTTGATTTCTTTGGATTTATTCTCTTCTAGATGCTGGAAAGCATGATCAAGAAACCCCGCCCGACCCGTGCTGAGGGCAGCGACGTTGCTAATGCCGTCCTGGATGGAGCGGACTGCATCATGCTCTCCGGAGAGACCGCCAAGGGAGACTACCCTCTGGAGGCCGTGCGCATGCAGCACGCTGTGAGTACGGTGCCGCTGGGGAGCCAGCCCTGGAGGGGACAGTAGCAGCACTCTGTGTTTCCCCAGATCTTCCATCTGAGCCAGGCACCTGAAGATGTAAATGTGTCTGGTGCTAGATGGCAGCACCCAGCAGTCCAAAGGAGGGATTTGTTTGTTGAGCAGAGCTGAGAACTGCTCTGCAATGCTCTGAGATCTAAGACTTCAGATTTCTCATGTTAATTTTTGTTTAGGCCAAGGGTAAAGGGGTTTTTGGTGATATCTTGGTCTGAGTTTCTTCAAACGCTCTGTTTATTTTGGCGTATGAAATACCATAAACTTATCCAAGGTCAAGGAGCTGCTTAAGCAGTTTATCTCTAGATAATGAAAGGCTGACTCCTCCGTGGGGGGGAGTGGGGTGAGGTGTGTGGGTCTGGTTTACAGCGCTGTTGCATTCAGCACCTGATGCGCTTGGTGTTGGGGGTGTTTATTGCACGAGTACTGACAACACCAGTTTTTGACATGCCTGAACTGCCAGAAACCTCTGCTCTGCTTCGAGTTCACCCAGCTCGCCTTTCAGCTGATAAAAAGCCCAATGTCAAATATCTACAAGTGTTGGGTCCCCAGTTACGAGTGCTGGGAAACAAACAGCGGTCATAACTCGCCATTTTTAATTGCAATTCAGGTTATATAGATAAATAACCTCAGGTAGTGCTTGTTTGCAGTGTGTTACGGAACTATTTCTTATCTGGTCAATATGGAGTGGTGTTTTTTGCACGTGGCAAATGCAAAATAGGACTTGATGCTTACCAGGCACTGACTGCTGGTTTACAGCCTGAACGCTAACTGTGCACCTAAAAGGTTCTTCCTCAGTTTCTCACCCCCAGAATCATGAGGGTTGACTTTATACCAAGAGTTGGAAACTTGCTGCAGCAAACCTTTCCATTCTGGCATCAATGCTTAGACACAGGCAGGTTGTGTTGTACCTGTAGCTGGAGCTCGGGATCAATTGCATGTGTTTCCCTCTTCCAGCAGATCTGGAAATAGTGGTGTTCCCTCTGCCAGGCCCCTGCAGAAATACTGAAATTTTTAACTGTGCAGAGGAGTAAATAAAATTTCTCTTGATTTAATTAACATGACACAGGCAGCAAGGTGCCAACTTTGTGACGGCAGGAGCATGTCCCCTCCAGGCAGGACCTTCCATCTGAGCCCTGTCCAGCAATAGTGTCCTAAGAAACCCCAGTCTGAAAATCTGCAGCATGGCTGGAGCAGATGAATATTTTAGTCTGAAGTGGCCAAGAGGTTGTAGCAGAGAGAGAGCACCTTTGCGTTTGTTCCCTGGCCTGAAATTTTTATTGGTTTGGACCTCTAAGAGACTTGGTCTGTGCCCAGCCTGTCCCAGCAGCTTTGCTGGGACTCTGCCCTAGTTTTGCTTAGCAATCTCTTTCCAGCCAGCCTCGCAGAAATGAGCTTGCTCCTCAGTAGCTGGCATCTCTGTGGCAAAAACGTTGTGTGCCTTGAGCTGAGCAGCAAGCTTCCAAATACTGGACAGGCTATTTCCTGCTTGTGGGAGCGGGCTTCCTTCCAATTCTGCTTCATGATCCACAGTTACCTTCAAATGCTGTCCTGGCCATGCTGCCTAACGGAACCAAGGTTTAAATAGCTGCTCCATTTTCCTTTCCTTCACCCTCCACCCTGGCATCTCCACCTGTGTACCAACTGGAGTAAAGCTGACATGAAGTTGAGAACTGCTGTGCCGTTCTGCAGCCGCTCTCAAAGCAGACATGTGTACGCACGTATTCTCTCACGACAGGCTTCCCTCTAAACTCACATAGAGCTGTCTGCCCTGGGGCCAGGAGCTGAAGATCAACTGCCTGGCTACCAGCTCTTAGTTTGGACTCGTGTTTTGAGGCAAAAACTTCCATTTTATCTAACAGCAAGTGTAAAGCCAGCAGTAACAAAACTGGCAGCTTTAGGACCAGAGTTGGCACTGGACTGCCGTTCCTGCCTGTCACATGTGTCTTGTTATTTTTAGACATAAGATACTTAACTACTTTGGCTTAAACTGGTATGTGTGGAAGAGGGATAATTCCTAGCATCATTCGTTAACACTAGAGTAACAGAATTCTTATTTGGAAGGGGTCTAACTCCAAAGCTTTCACTATAATGGCACTTGCACTCTGCTTAAACATGAACTTGTCGTGCTTTGTGTGGCGGCTGCTCATTTTCTGGAGTAACTGGATGAAATTGTCCTTGAAAAGATGATCAACCTTTGCATGTTTTTCTGGTCTCCACAAGCCTTCCTTGTTGGGTTGTCAGGGGCTAATGCAGTGTTCTGAGATGAGAATTGTCTTTACATGTGAGTGATTCCCAGCATACTGGGATGGGCAGGTTACTGAACTGGTTGCAAATGCTCAGTCTGACCAGAAAGCCCTTAATTGTGCCTCTGCACGTCTGAGTCTGGCACTACAGTGACCAACATATGTGGTGTGACAACCCGACAAGGAAGACTTGTTCTTATTTATTTCTCTGAAGTACTGAAAGGGAAGTTGGTACAGCACTTGGAGGTGAATCTTTTTTGGCTCTCAAGTTAAACTGAATCTTTTTTGGCTCTCAAGTTAAACTGAATGTAATGAGTCTAGGAGAGAGCCCATCTCTCTCCCCTTTTCAGGGATGAGATGGAAAGAGCACTGCTTGCGTGTTGACCCCATGAAGACCATTCCAGCAGTGCTGTGTGGTGTTGGGAAACTATGAAGAGGGGGCATGGAGCTACAGGGATCGCCTCGTGAGGAATTGGAGGCAAGTAGATGGCAGGAAGGTCTCTCAAGGAAGTAATAAGCAGCTGCAACAAAGCGTGGTCTGACTCAGGGAGGGCTTGCTGTGGTCCTTGAAAAGCAAATCTGCATTTGGCTGTTCTGAAAGGACTCCAAAATATAGCAAAGATGCCACCTCTGAAATGCCTGCCCAGGGGCCACCAGTTAAATGGCGTGGTGGGCTAGTTGGCGTGGCTGTGGCGCGTTTTGAGTTGAATTCAACAAATTTGTGACCTGAGAGCCAAACAGTTTCACAGCCTTTTCATATCCTTTTGCATGCATTACTATGACAATTAAGCAAATTAACGTGATCTCATGTTACTTTGGTATATCTTTCCTTCTTTTCTTTCCTGTTTTTCTCCTTCTTCCCTCTTACTCGCGCCTGCAGATCGCTCGTGAGGCTGAGGCCGCAATGTTTCATCGTCAGCTGTTCGAAGAAATTTTACGCCTCAATGTTAAGAACAGGGCACCTGCCGATGCCATGGCAGCGGGCGCAGTGGAGGCCTCTTTTAAGTGCTTAGCTCGAGCCCTGATAGTTCTGACCGAGTCCGGCAGGTAGGGCTCAGAGAGGGTGCTTGGTGCCATTTTTTTTTCCATGAGTTAAAAACACACTCCGTTTTAACGCTGCAAATATTTCGCAAGTGGCTTGCTGCTATGGTATCAGCCTTGCGTAACCGCTGCAGTCTGAGTTGAGCACATCTCCGTGGCAGGGAGGGACTCCAGGTAGGCAGGAGCAGAGCGAGAGTGCCTGGCAGTTGTCATGAATGTCACCTGAGTGTGGGCTTGGCAGGGCGAGGTGACTCGGTGGGTGCCACCAATTTGCAAAAGAAAATCTAACTGCTCCTCTCCCAGGTTGGTTGGGTGGCTGAGTGTTGTGGCTGTCACCCCCGTGCGTTGAATTCAATCTGGCCTTGCTAATTGGCAACTCTTAATGTCAAAGCCGATGATATTTGTGCGACACCTTGCTGACAGAGCACCTCGCCTTACCCCGTGCTGCCCCGAGTGACTGACGTGAGTGTTGTCTTCCCGAATGCATGTTGCTCTTATAGATTGCCCGGGAGGCCGAAGCCGCCATCTTTCACAGGCAGTTGTTTGAGGAGCTGCGTCGTCTGACTCCCCTCAACTGCGATCCCACGGAGGCTGCCGCTGTTGGCGCTGTGGAAGCGTCCTTCAAGTGCTGCAGCGGGGCCATTATTGTCCTCACCAAGTCTGGAAGGTAGGAGGTGACAGGTTCCTTCAGGTCAAGCCTGCTTCGTGACAGGGTGGGGGACAGAGACTCACAAAAACATGGTTTTGAGAGACCGGAGCCCGGGTTTTGGCAGCGACTGAGAGCCCAGGTCCCTGCCTGCAGTGCCGGTTCCTCAGGAGATGGGCAGACATCTCGAACATCTGCACGTATGTAACCTCCGAGTTCCTCTGCCAGCGTGGCATCGGCACCGCACCCTGCCTCCCCTTCCTGTTGCAAGTGGCATCTCTGCCAGCAGCGCTGCCTGGAAGAGCCAAGGGAAAATCAGTGTTGCAGCTTCCGATTCAGTCTTCTTGGCAAGGAATCCTCGATTTAAGAGTAAGCCAGAAGTGCAGTGGATGCAGAATATTTTTTTTTTCTCTTTTTTAATCAAAGCCTTGGCCTTTCACAGTACCATCCAAACTCTAGGTCCCTTGCCGAACCTTCCAGGCATCAGCCCTGCTTGCCTAAGCCCGAGCGGCAGAGAGGGGCTGCTTAGCCTAGAATTGTTAGACAGTGAAACCTGAAAGCGTTGGAAGCTTTCTTTTACAGACTTCCTTATACCTGCCTGCACGTAACCTCCCTCAACAGGCAGGCCCCCGGCACCCAGGTGCTGCCTGCGCTCTCAGGTGAGCCCCGTGCCTGGGCTGCAGGTGAGAGACGGCAACGCAGACACGCTGGAACGGTGTAGTTTGGGATTTCTGTCCAGCGGTGGAGTAGAGACTTGCTCTTCCAGTTGTGAAAGGGGAGCTGAAGCCTTGCTGATCAGCTTTTCCATCTGCCCACTCTCAAAGCACGTCTGACCATAAGTCTCTGGCTGCTTTCTGGAAGAAAATCTGAATTTTTTTGCACTGGTTTTGGACCAAAGAAATAGCGCAGCAGCAGCGATGTGATTATATGTGCTGGGCATGGTCTGTCTACCTGAAGATCTGGACCATCAGTGAGTGCTTCACCTAAATTTACAGCTAATTTTATTTGAAGCAGTGACTTTCTGCAGAGGGACGAGGAGTGACTGTAAGCGCTGAGTTTCTGGATACCCCCATGCTTCTAATGTTTCTTTGTAAAAGGTTCCAGTCTTACACTTGACCTTTTGACAGAGATTTGAACTCTGATATTTGAATATTTTTAGCTGTAGATTCTGTTACAGCCTCAGAGTACCTGGATCTCCTCGAGCTACCAGGAGGCTTCTTGGTCAGCGTGGGAAGGATTGTCTGAGAGCTGGCATGTGTGTTTGGGCGCTTCGAGCAGACTGCTACCGCCTGCTTTAAGCAGCAGTCGTTGAATCTGAATATTGCTCAGCTTGGCTCCAATAAATGAGGCTGCAAAAGCTAGCGGAGATACTGGCATGCTCACAGAGCTGGAAATGTCGTGGCCTTGCAATTTTCATCTCCATTTATTTGCAGATGCCCTCTGTAAAGACTGCCCAGGGAAGGAGAAGCCGTAGTTCCCCCCCGAGGGTGTGCCACTTGCTGTTTTAAGGACTCTGTGCCCACCTTCCCACTATAAATTTTGTCCTCTGTTACATTTGCTTCCTGTTGGGCGCGAGAGCAGAGCTCCGTGCAGAGGAACTGGCCCGTTTGCTGCCTTCAGCAGCTGAACGTGTCTGGGAGGCAAATGGCTTCCTCCTTGGCAAGCCCTGGGTAGTGCTGCTGGCGCGGGCTCTTTCCATCCCGTAAACTGGGAGCGCCTCAAAACAGAGGGAACTTGCAGGGACCCCCTGTTGCGATGCCAAGGACCGCTTGCAGAGGGTGGAATAAATGGCACCTCGCCACCTTCACGTAGCAACGGAGAAAAATAAAGGCTTGTTTTCGGCACCAAAACACGCAGATGGCACTTCCCAACCTCGGAGGCCAGGGGATTTTCGCCACCAGACTGGAGTAGGGATGGTCACCAAGGTGGTGGTGGTCTGCCCAGTTGCCGCTGGGAATACAGCTGAGGATTGAGCTCGTTGGTGAGCTTGGCTCTTGCCGGCATCTCTTGTGGGTCATCCTTTGTGTCCCTCCAGGGTGACAGTCAAGCCTTGCCGCCGCTTGTGTGTCCTCTCGGGCCTGTAACATGGTGCTTCACCTCTTGTGTGGTTTCCTTGCAGGTCAGCACACCTGGTGTCCCGGTACCGCCCGCGGGCTCCCATCATCGCTGTGACCCGCAATGACCAGACGGCACGCCAGGCTCACCTCTACCGGGGCATCTTCCCCGTCCTCTGCAAAGAACCAGCCCATGACGCCTGGGCGGAGGACGTGGACCTCCGCGTCAACCTGGGCATGAATGTCGGTGAGTGACGCCGCTCCAGCAGTCTGCTGGGACATGGGGGTCCTGAGCGCCTCGGACGGTGTTTTTGGGGCTGCCAGTGGGGCCCGGTGACAGAGGGAGGGGAACTGGCTGCCTGTGTGGTAACGGTATCCGATTGGGAAATGGAGAATGGTGGTTGCATAAGCACAACCGCATTCGATGGACAAATGGAACAAGGGGTTTTTCACCTTGAAATAGCTTCCAGCAGAAAACCAGGTTGGTTTGAACATGATAAATACTTGAACCGCGATGCTCAGTGCTCCTGAGAGACAAGAGGAGCCTGGAGCCAGGGTGACTCCCTTCTCCAAAGCTCCAGATTTCATGCTCCGTGTTGCAGAGGAGCTGAGAGCAGAAGCGAAGGGTCTGTGATGGGTGGGCAGCAAGAGGATGAGGTCTTGATTCCTCCCCAGAGCCACAGCTGCTGTTGGGGTGTCCTCCCACACCTCGGTGGCACGGGGAGGGGGTGACAAGTGACAGGGCAAGCTGACACCTCCTCTCTTTCTCTCCCAGGCAAAGCGCGTGGGTTCTTCAAGAGCGGCGACCTGGTCATCGTACTGACGGGCTGGCGCCCCGGCTCTGGCTACACCAACACCATGCGCGTGGTGCCCGTTCCCTGAGCGACCGACTCCCCCC